GGATCCGTTGCCGGTCACGAAAAAAGACAAAAAGAGAAAGAAAAAAAAAAAAAAAAAACACAACAGAGAGCCTAACCAGCAGGCTAGAACAAGTAGAAGAAACAATTTCTGATCTTGAAGACAGTCTTTCAAGATAACCCAGGCAGACAAAAACAAAGGAAAAAAGAATTTCAAAAAATGAAGAAAATCTAAGAGAGCTAGCAGATACCTTAAGTGCACATTCGAATCATGGGTGTTACAAAAGGGGAGAAAAAGGAAAAGGCATGGAAAATCTATTCAGTGAAATAACAGAAAACTTCCTAGGTCTAGGGAGAAACACAAACATTCAGATCCAGGAGGATCAAAGATCCCCAAACAGCTTCAACCCAAAAAGATCCTCTCCAAGACACATTATATTCAAACTGGCAAAGCTCAAAGACAAAGATGGAATCTTAAAAGGAGAAAGAAAACATCAAGTCACCTGTAAGGGAGCCCCCATCAGATTAACAGCAGACTTCTCAACAGAAACTCTACAGACCAGAAGAAAATGGAATGATAGATTCAAAATACTAAAAGAAGAACAACTGGCAGCCAAGATTACTATACCCAGGCAAGGCTATACTTCAGAAATGAGGAAGAAATAGTGTATTTTCCAGACAAACAAAAACTGTGGGAGTTCACCACCACACCACCAGCCCTGCAAGAAATCCTCAAGGGAGCCCTGCATCTAGAATCTGAAAAACAATAAGCACTACCACAAATATATAAGAAAGAAAAAAATCCACTGGTAGAACAAAAATACAAATAAGAAAGGGAAAGAAATTAATTCTTACCATCACAAAAAACCATAATGACAAGAAACAAAAGGAAAAAACCTCTCACTCTCTTTGGAAGATGACAGGGAAACAACTCATTCTTCCAAAACTACTAAGTAAAAGATAAAGTCAAGCATCTATCCTGTCTTTCATACATGAATTGTTCCTTGGGTTAACCATAAATAGCTGAGGAAGGAACACTTCTGTCTAGTGAAGTATCCCAGCTAAAAGGAATAAAATAATTAGAATATGTTATGTTGCAAATCCCCATTGAAATAACGGATCTAGCAAATGACCATCATTGACTGCTAGCATCACAGACAATCAGACATAATGGGCCTCCTGCAGTAAGAACATATATACCTCTGAAGCCAAATCTAACCTGAATGAGAACAAGCCTCAGGATACAGCAACCAATCATCAGGAAATGCAGGGGACACTGGAACATGTTATAAATGACACTACTGGGATGGAGCCAGCAAATCCAGACCTTGGGAAACTTTATGAGGTAAAGGGGAAAAAATTAGATGAAGGGGGAACCTACAGATTAAAAGAACCTTAAGTGACAGCTGACATAGCAACCAAATGCAACAAGCAGAACTTGTCTGGATTCTGATGGAAACCAATCAATTGTAAGAAAGAAAGAGGAAGGGGGAGAGAATTGGAGAAATTTAAACATGTTAATGTTTCATTATAAAAAAAAAAAAGAAAAGAAAAGCAATGTAAAACTCATATAAAACATTTGTTTGCTATTGTTTATTCAATAGATGTTCACTAGTAAATTACAAGCTGCTTTTATTTAATGTTACCTCAATTGCTAATGAAGCTATGCATTTTAAATAAGAAAAAAAATTTCATACTCAAATCTTATTACTTAGAAAGAGATTCTTCCATGGTTCAGACCATAAAGGAACCTACATTATGATTTCAAAATTGTCCTATTTAAAAATCCTTTAGTCTTCAAAACAAATTCATCAATATTTTTATCAAGTTGAACACATTAATTAAAATAAATTTACGATAAAATATGAATAAACATAATAATTCATTAAAGTTCAACTTGAACTCTCCTATATAATTCCACTCATAAAAATTATCATAAGTTTTCTTTACTATGATTTCCTTTTATGCACAATAATGGTATATAAAGGTTAAACATGGAATCTAAAAAAATCAAACTCAACTTTTACATTATTTGAAAGGAAAATAAATTCTACCTCTGCATTGTGCTTAGTTGTTATTTCTAATTTTTCTTTCTTAGCCCGATGGAGTTTCTTTCTGAGATCAGCAGTAATATCCAAGTCTGTTTCATTTTTAAGCATTTGTTTTACATCCGATGAGGCATTCTTCAACCTATAAAATGAGATCATAATAAAATATAATTCTCATAAAGCATATTTCACAGTATTTCTGACATTTCTTATAACTTATTTTTCAAAAAACATACAAAATATGATATGGTCCTTGACTCAAAGAAATTTACAATCTAGTAAAAAATGCCCATTGCAAAAGTGAGGTACAAATGCAAAGCAGTATATTACTAGTAACTAACCACTGTCTACTGGGAAAGCACCACATTGTTCTCAAGACTGATATTTACACTGTTCGACCATATCACAAGCTGGGTAGCTTTGGAAGGGAATGAGTTCTTTCTTTTCTCTTTTTAAAAAATATATTTTACTCACTGCAAATGTAATACATATTACTAAAAGAAAAAGAATACAGATTCCTGCTTAAAAATGGCAGATTAAAGCACTCTATTCTCCCTGCTCCCCCAACCACCATCATTACCAAAAAATACATTAAAATAACAGCATACAGAATTTAGAGGTATCAACCCATAAAGAGAAAGAACACAGAAGATGAAACAAAATATTGGAAGTTGGAAAGCATGTGGATGAATGATTTATCTAATAAAGTTGAATTCAAAGCCAGTGACGAAAGCAACCTGATTTACACCAGAGCCCCCAAAGCTCAGTAATCAGCAACACCTTTGAAAATGGGCGTGAAAGTAGAGCAGAAAACAAAAGAATTGGTTGAAAGTCTGCCAACAAAATAATTAGATCCTCAGGTCCTCTACCCCATATACCACAAAACTGGACACCTATCTCTTCCCCAATCTGTCAGAACACTAGGGATTTATTCCCTGGAGAGGATAAAACAAAAGGTCTCTGAATTGGAAGATATTAGATACAAATGGGGTAAGGGCTACATACTAAAAACATGATGCTTGAGTAAAAAGTTATATAATGAATGACAACCCTCGTCTTTTAACACTACTTGTTTGCCAGAACAATGGCAGCCAGAGAATGGAAGTGTCTTCCCTTTAGAATCTAGCCAGCCAGGTGAAAAAGACCTAAAGATGACGACGCCAGGGGTTCTCCAGCAAAATAGCTTTACCAGATCACCTTACAAAGAATGACACATGGGCCGGCCCGTGGCTCACTCGGTAGAGTGCGGTGCTAGTAACACCAAGGCCCCGGGTTTGGATCCCACATAGGGATGGCCGGTTCGCTCACTAGCTGAGCGTGGTGCTGACAACACCAAGTCAAGGGTTAGGATCCCCTTACTGGTCATCTTAAAAAAAAAAAAAAAAAAAGAATGACACAAATACAAAGCCTCCCACACTGAGCTCCCAGTCATTTTTTAAGGTTAGGCTCTGCTTTTAAATATGAGCAGTGAGCCAAGGATCATTAAACTTCTATCAAAGTTTAAGAAGTATCTAAAATGAAAGAGACCAAAAATAAGACGGATAGTAAGGAGGATGCCCTCAAAGACTATGCAGATAGAAGATAACTTTTTAAAAAGACAGAAAAAACCAACATTAATATTCTCAGAAAAACAGGAGAGTAAAATATCCATAACATTGCATCCATGGATGTGGTAAGAAATATTCACAGAACAAAAAAAGAATTCTTGGAAACAAAAAGCACAAAGAAAGAAAAAAATAACTAAACAAAATAAATAAATATAAAAGAAAAATCTCCCAGAAAAGAGAAAGGGAGATGGAAAATAAGAAAGAAAATTTTATAAATTAGAGGACTGTTCAAGAGGTTCAAAATCTAAATAAAGAGTTACAGAACGAGGAAATATAAATTTATAACAAAAAATAGCCTTATTTTTTTGTAAGTATTATTGTAAGCATTTTGCACATACAAACTTATTTAATCTTCACAACAAACCCATCAGATAGCTACCATTATGACCCCTATTTTACAGATGAGGAAACTGAGTAACAGGGAGGCTAAGAGATTTGCCCAAATTCACAGATCTGGCAAGGAGCAGAGCTAGAACTCAAACCCTAGCAGCCTGGCTCCATTATATAGCTTCTTAACTTTTATACTATAATGCCTCTCTGGAGGGGAGGAAATTATTAAAGGGAAAAATTAGAGAAAATATCCAGATTCTTTTTTTTTTTTTCTTTTTTCCTTTTTTTTGTCTTTTTTCGTGTCCGGCATCTTTTTTCCTTTTTTTTGTCTTTTTTCGTGTCCGGCAACGGATCGCAACCCTCGGTGTCATGCCCATACCGGACCGGGACCGGCAACGGGATCGCAACCCCCGGTGTTGGGCCCGCACCCCGCTCAGCCAGTGAGCAGGAACCGGTCTGTATGTGGGATCCGAACCCTCGGCGGGAGCGCCGCCGCACTCCCAAGCGGCGCACTGTAACAGTGCGCCACCGGGCCGGCCCAAAAAAAAAAAAAAAAAAAAAGAAAATATCCAGATTCTGAAGGATACGAGTTTCAATCTGAAAGAGCCTATTAGGAGCCAAGGTTAAATGCAGGGAAATGTCAGAAAACAGAGCACAAAAAAAGAGTTGCTCCAAATTCCAGAGAAAAATAAATAGGTTTTACATAAAGGATTAAGAAATCTGTTTGGGGGCTGGCCCGGTGGCGCACTGTACAGTGCGCCGCTTGGGAGCGCAGTGGCACTCCCGCCGAGGGTTTGGATCCCACGTACAGACCGGCCGCTCACTGGCTGAGCGAGGTGCGGGCGCAGCACCGAGGGTTGCGATCCCGTTGCCGGTCACAAAAAAAGACAAACAGGAAAAAAAAAAAAAAGAAAAAAAAAAAAAAAGAAAAA